GAAGAATGCAGTCTCCATAGGACTGCACTCAGACACCTGGACAACAACAACACTTTTGCAAGAATGCTGTTCGTGGACTTCAGCTCAGCATTTAACAGGGTCATCCCTTTCAAGTTAACCACCACACCTGGCACCCTGGGCATCAGCGCCTCCTTCTGCAACTGGATTCTGGACTTTCTGACCAACAGGCCTCAGCATGTTAGGTCAAACAACACCTGCTCCTCCACCATTATCCTCAACACTGGCGTACCACAGGGCTGTGTGCTGAGCCCATTCCTCTACTCACTTTTCACCCACGACTGCATCCTGACCAGCTGTATCACAGTCTGGTATGGAAACTGCTCTGTCCCCTGACTGTAAGGTGTTTATTGCAGCAGGTGGTGAAAACTGCCCAACGCATCACAGGGACTCCACTTCCAACCATTGAGGGTGTTCACAGGGAATGCTGTGTCTGACATGCTCGCAGCATTCTCAAGGACTCACAAACTGTTTGACCTCATACCCTCTGGGAGGCCCCTCAGGAGCCTCTGGACCAAAACCAGTAGACTCAGGAGCAGCTTCTTCTCCACAGCTGTCTCCTTACTGAACTCTGTTCTCCTATTGACCCCCACTGCCTTCATTTAGAAGAAGCTTTATTTATTGTCATTGTAACACGTACAACATAATTATATATGGAGCCAAGGGCCCCGGGGCCACTGCATACATACGCACCGCCATTACAGAAAACGGGGGGGTTCAGCTTCGACATGGACTGCAGGCATGAAGATTCAAACCTTCAACCTTCTGGTTGGAGACAACTGCTCTACCAACCGCACCACTGTTGCCTCCCCACACACCTCACCCCTTCTTATCTTTCCTTCAGGGACTCAGGCAACTGGACTGTTACCTGTAACACTGAAGTGATCTGTTAATTTGCACATACTCACAGGATACTGCTCTGTATTCATTTGCACACTGTTTATATGCAGATACTGTATATTTCTTTAGCTAGATTTTATCTTTGCACTATTTATCGTACAACCATTGAACTGTTCACTCATGTAACTTATTATCTTCTTATTCTGCAATGTTTCATTCCATCTCATCTCATTGCACCAGTGTTCTATAAGCTTAATGTTCCTTATCCATTAATGTAATTTGAATCCATAATCTGTTGTATATCGTACATTACCCTACATATCTTACAGTAAATATCAATTGTACATATCCATTGCACATTCTTCATTGCTGTTATTGCACTTCTGGTTAGATGCTAAACTGCATTTCATTGCCTTGTACTTGTACATGGGTAATCTAATCTAATCTAATCTAATATAATCTGATATACTGCCCCTTTTTGACCTGTATATCATTTAATAAACATATTCTACCAAAATTATTGTCAATGGCTCTCTAAACATGCTTTTAGATGAAACTCAGCTGTATGGTCTGGTTTACTGACTTGTGCATCAGTTCACCAAGTCTATCTTCTATGAAAATTGGCAAAGCACCCAGGGTGCATGCCTACATCTGCAGCCATTTCCAATTCGCTGACCTCACCAGGCTTTAGATGAACCCTGATATACTTCAAATCTGTACATGTATCCAGAGGCCCCTGCTCTGACCCAAACTTTCACAGCCCAAGGTTTGGTTTTTCTTTTTTTTGATTGAAATTTTTCAGTACTGATTGCTGAATGGAAGGTTTTCTCAAGTACATGGATGTACATCAGAATCTGCTCAAATGGAATGACACACTAGTGTCCACTGAAGTAGACAATATACAACTACCCAATCAGAACCCATGCACTTACAAGAAAACAGCTTTTAATAGCTGTCCGCTGTAGTGACCATTATGTATGAAAGGGCTAAGAGATCCCCTCTTCAAGCACTTTCAAGTGATGTGGGACAAAATCCACAGTCCTCAATTTGTGTAAAAATGTCCTCCAAACGTCATCGGAAGTTACTAGTAGGCCGCAGCAATGTCAGTTAGACAAATTAAGTCAGTCTTTCTATGATAAAATTCCCTCTTTCTGTTTCCCTGATAAGTTGCAGAGAAAAGAAACTACGAACACAGGACATTTGTACTGGAAAAAGGTGCAACTGTGGAAAATATCCACTTGATTGAATGGCTGATGGTTGAAGCCACAAAATATATTCAGATAATCCTCTGAATACATTTTTACCTAGAGGAAAGACTGTGGATTTAGTTCTTCATTATATACTGTAAACTGCAAGTGCATACGGAAGGGGTTCCATAGTAGCCAGTATGAACAAGACTAGGACTACTCTTGTAAGAGAGACCTGGAAAATTAGAATCTTATCTTCTAATGATTTCCACACAGCTATCACATACTGGTGAAAACATGATTTGGAAGGCATTTAACACAGGGGTAGACACTGTGTGAACTTCCAACAGGAGTCTTCTAATCACAATTTTTTCAACTTGTTCCTAATGAAGAGAAATGTATTTCTGATGGGCTGACTCAGTCACTGTGTGAAAACATGCAGAGGTACAAAATGTTTGACTCTATAATCATGGAGTCACATGTGCTGTACTATGGTGTTTACGAAAAAAAAAAGATCCATACAGGGAAGGGAAAGCAGCTGTGATGTAGGCTGTGTGTGTCTATGAAGGTAAGGTGGGAAAAACAGTTGGACCTAATTTCTGCAGCTTTGCAGAGTCACAGTTTATAGGAGAGTGAAGCACAGAAAGGAGTCAGCTGAATCTGAGGCACCGAAATACATGTGTTTTCATGCTGGCACAAGCCATGCAATGCAGTGGTACACTGGTGAACTGGTATTTTCCTGCATTACAAGTTATTTTCTCTGCCATACTGCTTGGTATCTTAGAGACCAGCCATGTGCCGTAGTGTGAGGAGGGTCACATGTGGTGATGTGAAACCATGGCACATTCCAATTAGGTGCCCTGATCACTGCCTGCTTGCCCAGAGCTGGACAACTGCTCAGCGGACCTTTGTTCTAGAGGAATTTTGACACTTTATTTGGTGAAGTCACACCCGTTTCAACCTCCCTAAAATCACACAGTCCCCTTTATTTGTATTTTTCTCATCTTTCTACCTTTATGTTATGCTTTTCAATCAGCAGACATGGCATCAAGCTGGCAAAGAAAGTTGTATTATGATTATGGTATTAATTTCATCATGAGTGATTCTTACCTCATCTGTAGTCCAGGACAATGAGTAGGTATATCGTAAAGATCTTTCTTTTACCCTGGTGCTTCTATTTACAGTGGTCTGAAGGCAGCAGTGTCAGTTCCATCTGCACTCTCTAACTGTAGTGATGCTGCACTGTCAATCCCCAATTATGCATTGCAGATCTGCTGGTTAAATTTTGCAGGACAAGCACCATACTTGCAAAATAACTATCTTTAATGCATAATAATGCATTCTTTCTGATCCCATCCTGTTTCCAAATGTGCTGCAGGGCAAGGTGCACTTGACTGTGCTCTGTGCAGCCATGCTGGGTTCACCAAAATAGAGCCCCAAGTGTCAGCTGAAACTGGAGTGCTGAAATAGTTTGACATGTCACTGGAAGCATATACACTGGAAGGAGGTGAGGTGTTGCTTGAAATCCTTGAGCTAAAACAGGCTAAATCAGTTGAATTATAATCGCTGAAAGCATCTGAGAGGACCTGTAGACAGGTGAAGTGTAAGTGTGCATGTAAAAATGGAAAGTAGTGGAACCAACAACTGAAGAGTAAGAATTGAAAGCAGGTCGCCTGTCAGCTGATTAATTAGATGTCAAAGCAGTGTCAATAAAGGCTGAAAGCAGCGCAATTGCCATTTAATACTTTATATATTAAGAATATTAAGACATATATAAATACAGTCAAAACCTTTAGTCATATGTAACACTTCACATGATGCAGTAGCAGTAAAACAGATGTAAAAAAATAGATTATTTGAAAGTCTATCCTGTCCATCTCAGACAGTTTACTCTGATGCTATTCCTCCTCTTGACACTGGTGACAAATTAGTCTTTAGACAACATAAAGTAATAAAAAAAGACCCTTGAATCAATTTTAAAAATGGTGTAATTAAATGGGCAAGTAAAACATGAATTAAATGACATTTTTGTGTTCTGTGTGTGGACTCACGTGGTTTCTTGGTGGTGATGTTAAAAGCAGGGCTACAGGGTCCAAGTCCAGCGCTGTTTTGAGCTCTGACTGAGATCAGATAGACTGTGCTGCCCTTCAAGCCAGACAGCAGAGCTGTGGTGTTGATAACCTTCACTATGTCTGCTTCACTCTGCTGAGAGCCTTCCTCCCAAAAGAGAACCTGGACCACAGACACATGGTTTACCATAGACATCCAGCCATATTGCATTTTTTATTTTGCAAACTGTTTTAAAATCTGGAGCAGTGAATTGAGTCAAGTCAAACCTTATTTAATTTGTCAATTTCCTACAAGGTTCACACACTTACGGAGACATAGAAAAGTTTACTTTTAAAGGAACCTCATCTTGGGGCTCTTTTCACTTCATTAAGTAAGAAACTTGTGGCCATTTATTCAATAAGGAGGATTTCTTCCTTCACATTCTGTTTGTTCAACAGTGGATTGACGTGGGCTGTTTATTTTTGATCAGTTCATCACTGTCATCTGCTTTCCCATTATCTTCATTCCTGATGGCACCATGTCTGACCAGTCATATGATTCACTGGCTGCTGTTCTTTAAATATTGTTGCAATTCTGCCTGCTTGTCTTTCAGACACTCAATTGTGTGACCCATCTCCTCTTCATCACCACCATAACCTCTATAATGTCCAGGGTCACTGTCCATGCCATCCTCAGGGAAGCTTCTATTTTCATGTGGGCCTACGCCTAATGATGATGCTTCACATTACAGGAGTCTAATTGCCAAAAACCTCTTTACCAACTCAGTAAATTTTGTTATTCACTTCCTTATTGAAATTACAGCAGTGATTTTATAGAACATGCTATATGCTCAGCTACTGTAGGTCCTTTTTTAAAATACCAAGTGATATTGTACATGGCAATCAGCACTACCAAAAGCAGCACTGGGCGTGAAGAGTACAAGGATAAGGAGTTTGTTAGAATTTCTATTCATAGAGGGATCATTTATGACCCTAACACGACACAGAAAAGGCAGACAGGAAAATGTCAAACAGATGGTTTGAGACTAGGTACTTATTCAATTGGCTATACACAGGTTTGCGGGCATCTTGCTTGGGAACAGGCAGATTAGCGACAGGACCTGGAGTTGCTGATAACAGATGCATCTGGAGTGTTGATTTTTTTTCTACCAGCAGTTTAATTATAGAAGTTTTACCTGCTCTTGGGAAAATACCTAAATACCTCAGCAGAAGTCATTTACAGTTATTTTACACTCCTCAATTCATCCTCATTGAGGGATAAAAAAGTGGGATCTAAGGAGACTAAGGATGTATTGCTGCATCTTAAAGTCTTATGGAGACAGTGGCAGGGAAGTGCATCATACCACCAATGCACAGTTTTAACAATGTATGAAGGCAGCACTAACTTTGACTTTCTTTAAATTAAAGCTGGTTATAAATTCATCCCTGACATATGAAATGTCAGTGTAAAAAATGGAAAGTAGCCAGACTAACAATCAAAAAGTAAGAGCATGTGTTCTGTCAGCTGTTTAATAAGTCAAAGCAGCTGAAATGTCAGTGTCCCAGCAACAGAATCAGCTGAACTGTCATTTGAAGAGTGTAAATTAGCTGAGGTACAATATCAGTTGATGTCTATTGGCTGAAAGCAGCTCATAGTTAGTTATAAAAAGGCTTTCCATGGCAGCAGCAAAATCAAGTTCTGAAGTAGCGAAAAATTCAAGAAAGAATGAGGATGGGTCATTTGAACTACAATATACCTGAGCTACATTTTCAGTGAATGGGCCAATTGAACAATGCTTTAGATGTACACTTAGTCATCTGCTTATTATAAACACCTAACTACAATTAATGCTATAATTTTATGAGTGGATCTCTACTATTTCCATTATTAATTAATTAATTTATTTATTTATTTATTTTTGTATTGCATATACATGTGCGCACTAACACTTATACAGATGATCCCATGCTGTTCCACTGATTTACACTCTAGAAGAAGACTGCTAGCTAGTAAACATGAACATACAATGTTAGATTCTTTTTTTATTTTGCTTTGCAAATGTTTTATCAGGGAGTAAATTTGTCCATTATGTTTTAGACCATAGCATTATACGCAGTAAGCTTTGGTGAATAACACTGAATATAATAGATTAAAAAAACAAGAACAACAACAACAACAAAAAAACTATTGCTTGTTTACAGGGAAACTCCACAGGGAACTTGATTTTAGTTTATATTGTTCCTACATGATGCATATTCCATCCATCGAGTATCTGTACTACTTGTCCTGTAGAGGGCTGGAGCCCAGTGTCACCCACTGACATTGGGTGAAACATGGTACAGGTACATCCCGTACAGGTCGTATTTTTATTGCAGGGCTGACACATAGAGACAAAGAATCATTCACACCTACGAGAGTTTTAGAGTCGCCAATCTGTGTAACTTGCGTGGCTTTGGATTGTGGGAGGAAGCCGGAGTACCTGTTGGAAACACACGCAGGCATGGAAAGCAAACAACTCCACACAAGCCAGCAGATTTGAACCAAGAACCTTCTTGCTGTGAGGCAGCAGTGCAACACACTTCGCCACTATGCCACCCCTGGTGCATATTCCCACTGTGTTCAATCAAATCACCACAATCGAATGTGGCACAAATTCTGAGTCAAGCAGTGTTATATTACCATATAAATGGCTAATGTCTGGGTGTGTAGGTGAATGATCAAGCTACCGCAGGCATTTTTCAGGACAAACATTTGGACTTTTTATAGTAGGAAAAGCACTAGTGTTAATAATAAGATTAGCAATGCCTCTGGCCTATCTACAGTACAGTATGTGCCCCAGTAAGCCATGACAGTAAGCCAGCATGCACAGTGCCAGGACCCTGAAGCCACAAACTGGAATTTTGCCATCAGGGATTTTATTATTTACATTTGCAATTTTTCCACCGTGACATGTCAAAATGTTTTCAGTAGAGTCCAAACAGGTACAGTACCTTTTGCCCTATAGGGCCCGTAAAAGTTAAATCCTTCATGGTCAAAAGCTTTTAGATCCTATGGTTTATAATTTTGATGGTACAGTAATAGAGACCGTCTCAAAAGTTCAGTCTGTTAATACAGAGTTGTATTTAGGCTTTGTGCACTCAGTCTCAGGCTTTTCCTCCTGCTATTTTTGATCATAGGTGAAGTGGCGCTATGAACCAAAAGGTTGAGTGAATTGGAAGATAAATTAAAGAGTGTGGTGATGACTCATTATCCTCTCAGCTAGTCACATTACTTCTCTCCTAACTTTCACACAGTTGTTCCAGTTAGAGTGGCATATGACACGAAACACCACAGAGAGAAGACTCTTCAAGAAGAAAACTGTATCGCTGGCATGGTGTTGCAGTTTGGTAGGACATGACTAAATGGCAGCTAAATTTGCAGCCAAAACTAGATGGTGTGCTTCTATAAAAATATTTAAATTTAAACTTAGAGTATTTCTCCTCACCTGCTATTGGTACCATAAGTTCCATAAAGGGACCTACGGACACACGGTGCTCCTCATTTACTTGTATTTGACAACAAAATCAAGGCTGACCTGAGTGTGTAGTTGTCATCTTCTAGTGCATCAGCTGACACACTGAAATTAATGACACTGCTACTAATGCCAGAATGGTATTTGTTGGCCACCATGCACAGAGAGCTCTACCCTGCTGGGACAGATTGGCAGAGCCATACGAGAGCTTTCCAGGCCCTCTGCTCCACAGCTGGCTGCTCAGCCTCTGGTGCAGATGGGGACTGGTGATGGATTTTATCGGTGCTGACTGCGGTATTGTTTCTACTTTTCAACCTGATTATTCAATTATTTCTTTATTGATCTATTTTAATGAAGAAACTGTATATCCAGGTTCTATAGGAATACCTTGTGAACAAATGCTTCATCGAGGAAACCATCACAAGAACAAAAAACTAACAAGGTACAAAAATCTGACTCAAGTTCTACACTGTATGTGAACGTGTACAGGGGGCATGCACTGAACAAGCACATCAGAAGAAGCAGTAGCATCTCTGGAACAACCTGCAACCACACCTATACAGGGGCTGACTATTGATCCCGATCAATACAAGCATTTGAGAAAACACATTTTGTCCAAGTATTATGCTCTGGCAGAGTGTATGGATAGGACATTAATGAACTTTGCTTTGCCGTTTTACTTTATCCCTTTGTCATTGGCTGGAGTGGATGGATGTGGGTATCCTTGTCTAAGAGATTCAGGAGCAACTGCAGAAGTAGGTTATTTCTGCAATTCCTCCAGAGGACAACTGACATAAAAGCTTGTAATTCAGCAATTTTTTTATGACTCAGGAAAAGCTACTATGTTACTTATAATGACTTGAACAGAGATGGTAATACATATTTACAGCGAGGAGCTCACGGAAGTGGCCTAGTTAGGCTGTTCATTCAATCAACTTAAACACACTTGTTTTCATGTTGCGGTGAAACCCTGGCAGAAGAATTCCTGCATTGTGCATTTCAGGGGATACTGCATATGAACATCAGGCTGCTGACCATGGCAATAGCCTCTATTCCACTTTAAAAGTATGTAGATACAATGTAACATTAGAGCCACTGCAGTCCTTTTCCACCTAGATGTTGTCATTCTAATAGTGCAGCCCAAGGAGCGGCTCATCTTTACATTGCTTATTTGAGCCTTTGTCTAATGCCACTGCAGTTCACAGTCATCTAGAAGAAACAAGTTCCAATGTTGCACAGTCCAATGTCTACAGGCTGTGAAAGCAGCATATTAGCACAATAGCTTTGGTCTAAGTCCAAGTGACCACTGGCCAATGGACCGTACCAGATCAGCTTTAGAATCTGCACACTAGTAGCGTCATTATGCTGGCTCATCAGCCCACTGGCATACCCTTATTAAATCCTCCCTTTATTCTAAATGCAGTGAAATGAACCACATTGTCACCCTAGCCCATATCAACTTTTCCTGACTTTTCAGGGTTGCACCCAAAAGCACAGGATCAATGTCAATAGTGTGGCTTTACAACAGAGCCAACCTTGTTGTCCAATTCTCAACAATTCAGACTCGGACTAAGGCCACAGCCAGAAATGAAAGTAAGGAAAGACCCATCACCATTCTCATCTTAATGCACTAGTAGATGGCGGTTTTTATATTTGAGCCCCTGCCCCTTAGAAACTCTCTGCACGTCCGTGTGCTATGACAGATCCTCAAAGTTATGATGATGTGTTGTGGTTGAATGAATTGAAATTTATCATTATCTGTTGCACTGTCTAATGGCATTTGGGAGTGTTCAAGGCTGATCAGAACCAATGATCTGCCTGTAGTGTGAGGGGCTTCCAGACAAAATCTTAACACTACCAACTGGCTCATAGTCGCCAAAATTTCATATCAACTTGAAATCCTGTAGTGTGAAAGGAACAGTGATGAAATGTGGAGCAGAAACCTGCAATAGCCAATGACAGTGAGCCAACTGGTAAATCTCACCAATTGTAGCAGTAGCTTGCACTAGCCTTGTTAGCTGCATTTGAGACTAACAGTGAAACATTATTTCCAACTCATCTCACTCTGCAAAATGTACATGCTGATGGGTCTCCTCATTCACGACTTCACCCACACAGTTTTCTCCTCTTACTGCATGTATCCTTACAGGTGGCCACATTTATTCATTTCTGTAATGTCATTCAGTATTGGGAAATATATTACAATATAAACCCATGCCATGTGTGATTATAAACAAATTCATTGAATAATATTATTAATAAATAAACCATGATTGGTGTGAATAATGCTTTTTCCCCTAAGTTGGTGCTGCATGTTGACCTTTAAGATTAGACATTAAGACTTTCCTTTTTGATAAAGCTTATAGTTCGGGCTGGATCAGGTGACCCTGAGCCTTCCCTTAGTTATGCTGCTATAGGCCTAGGCTGCTGGGGGGGCCCATGATGCTCTGAGCTCCTCTCCTCTCTCTCCATGCATCTATAGGCCACCATTACACATCACTGTATGTCTCCTCTCTCCCGTAGTGTGTCCTCTGTCTCTCTCCCTGTACCTTTCTGCAGGTAGCCCTGGATCTGGAGCTCTATGTCTCTGATGAGCAGTCACTGGCCACATCAACCTGCCCAGTGTTTGATTGTTTATTGTGTCTTGATTCTTTTCCTTTTTTTTTTCTCTCTCTCCTCTATCCACTGACCCCAACCAGTTGAGGCAGAAGGCCGCCCACCAGGAGCCAGGTTTCTGTCAGAGGTTTCTTCCATTAAAGAGAGTTTTCCTCTCCACTGTTGCTAAGTGCTTGCTCAAGGTGGATTTGTTGGGTTCTTCTTTTAGTAAAGTGCCTTAACTGAATTGACCTGAAATTGAATTGACATGAAGGAGCTAAAGATGGATTAATATTGTGGAAATTGCCAACTGTTGACAGACCCAAATCATTAAAATTTCAAAGCTGCACTTCCCCTGTTGCAGGTACTTCAGTTTTCCTGGAAGGCTGTCACATTTTTGTTTAATTTTTTCAGCAACTATATCCTGTAAAATTCTCACAGTGCTCAATAAACATTGCACATTCATCTGTGCCTGAAAGCCATCTCCTGGCTCCTGCCTGATTAGGACAGCTCTGGAGCAGAGTACAATGTACACCGTAGGACCACATTTCTGGCCAGTTGGGAGTGAGTTCCTACGCTGAGGTTCTTGATAAATATGGGCCCTTATTTGCAGAAGATTCATGTAAAAATCATGGGGAATTATTATTTTAATCTATTTTTAACAAAAAGTGGTAAAACTATACTCCTATTGCTGAGGAGCTGTATATTTCTATAGTTTCCCGATGTTTATTATAAATTCTGTCAGCTCAGCTACAGCTCTTGGCCTCGGGTCCCAGAAGTCACTGTGGTGCTTCATACCCTGTCTCATAACAAATACTAGCAGTGACCTCAAGTTTTTTGTTTTTTTTTTTAATCTAGGTTTTTCACAGACAAATCCTGGGAGAGACTTTGTTGTAGGGGTATACAGTACATACTGTACATCGCACATGATGCATTTACCTATTTGTTTATTGTGTTTTAATGGCAGCTGTCAGACAGCTTTGGGTATTGAGCTTTTTGACTGGAACAGCTGCAAGCAGAACTCATCATGCCCCAGATTAGCCTGTGGAGAAGTTGCTGCTCTGACATATGCAGTATTTTAATGTCATATTATTTCCACATTGTCACCATCAGCATTTACATTCAAGTGGATGCCAGCTTATTGTACTGACAGCCATTCTGGGATTAATGTCTACACCTTGTTTGAATATTCCTTGTAGCACTCATATTTCAAGTAAATTTTTCATACCTCATATGCAATGATCTTCTCTGTGCTGGACCCAGGGCGAATTGGTTTCCAGTACACCTTGATCTCCGAGGCTGACACAGCATGGGCCCAAACTCTTGATGGTGCCTCAGAGGGCTCTAAATGAGATTGTTCAAAAATTATGCATATTTGCTCTTAAGGTTGAAAGCATGCATTTTTGTGAATCAATACAGTCAACTTTATTTGTATTTGCTGCAGTTACAAGCAAACACAATCACCTTCCTCTGCTGAAAACACTTTAACAACATGGCTGAACGGCCCCTCTCCCAGGCTGTTGAATACTCCCACTTTTACTTCAAACTGGGACAGGGGTGGGATGCTGTCATTTCTGTAAATATATCTGGATGCATCAGATGATGCCAAGACTGTCTGGATCCAGGTGCTGCTGCTAAGTGGGCGGAAAGCCACGACATAGCCAAAGTCCTCTCCGCTCTGCTGTTCCTCTGGAACTGGCTGAGATAGGAACAGAGAAGTTACGCCTTTGCCCAAACAACTGTGAGCAGAAATTCAATGAGGGAGAAGCAGAAATCGTGTTTTATGTCTGACAAACTGTTGATACAATATCTTTCTGTCCTTTGAACCACATGCAAAAAATTTAAAGTTGGCTGATTTACACATATAACATTTGCAGTAGCTCCGTAGATTTGTTTTGATTTGTACAACAGGGAGAGTCAGCGGGCAGTAAATCAGAAAAGCTCTGCCTTTAATTAAAAGCCAAGGCATTGAAGCCAGACCACTGCAGACACGCTGACTCTGCCGGAAGTCCATTCTCCTCAAAGGTTTCAAAGAATGCTCTGTCACAGTGACTGCTCATTCTAAAATGCCCATGATCCTCTTACCTCCCACATGATGACAAGTTCTCCTCGAGCTCCTCCACCGCCACTCACATTAACTGGTGCAACCTTGGGAGCTAAACAGGCACAAAGGAAACGTAATCATCTCTCAGTTTGGGCTCGTGCTGTTTAAGGCAGGTGCAGAGTATTCTGTTAAAGTACACAGCTTTCAATGGGCTGATCACAGCCTCTCTGTGGAGCTTCATATTTACACAAAACAGGGTAATCTCACAGTAGAGGAATTAGGTGCTTGTTGACAGTGGCATTACCATCCGTGTACGGTGCCATTATTAGCTGAGCACCGTATGTCAGCCCCGTGTGTGAGGCACAACAGGAAACTTGTTACCTTGTGAGTCAACCAGTGGGATGGAATTACTCCGCTAACCAGCTCAAAACAGACACGTTCATGTCGCTGCCTCATGGCATGTGTGGCCAGATCAGATTTTCTGTTGATGCGAACCATGGCACAAGCTCCAGAATGGTAACACACACACACGAGCTTAAGGTTGATGCTTAAATGTTTAAAAGTGTATTTCAGTTTCCACTCATTTTGCATGTGACTGGGTAATCAATGTATTGGCATGAAAAGAAACAACAGACAAGAAATGAATAACATCACAGGGAGCACTGATGGTGAAGTAATTAAACAGTTGAATTGCATTTTCCAAGTGGGACATTAATTTGTTATGAAAAGAAACAACAAAATGAGAGGATACCTGCTGCTTTGGTTCGAATCTGTTTTGATGGCGTGCTGGGTTCTCCTACACCAACACTGTTGATTGCCACCACCCTGAATTCATAATCCACCCAGGGGTTCAAATCTTTCACTGTCGCATACATCATCTGTCCAGGCACAGAATCAGGAACTAGGATTAAAGAATTTAGAATTGAGATGTGTTTTGGTTTTTTGTTTTACTGAATCACATTTCATGCACATCTCTAACTGCCTGGAGAATCTAACTTCATGTGGGCTGCATCTGCATTGTGATCACAGCTACCTGCTGTTTCTCACTGGAATTCCATGTATCACGGCACATGTAGCTACCTCGAACTAACAGACGTCTATTGAACTAAGGCATGCAGTAAAAGAGTTTCCATATATGCATGTACCATTACATTTCTTTATTGATTATAAACAGGAGCTGAAAATCTACCAATTTGTGTTTCCTTTCTTTCAACTATCATTGTCTTTCTTATACTTAAGGTACTTTGTTTATGACCTCTCACATAACAGCTTGCAAACATTATGTTTGATATGTAAAAACATCTATAAATGCTTTCATCTTTTCTTTGTTATAAGCCATACATCTGAGAAAAAAGAGAGTATTATCATAAATGACCACAGGCTCATTACATGGCCCTGTATTCACTACAGCAACAGAAAATTAAAGCGTTTGTGTTTGCAGAACAGCTGTTACCTGTTCTCACAGTCTGCCAGCCTATAGAGAAGAGGGTCCTCGCCTGCACCATGTACATGGTAACAGGACTGTGGTTGTCAGGTCCAGATCCCCAGGACAATTGCACAGTGGTGTCAGTAATGTCAGTCACCACCAGGCCCTCTGGGGCACCAGGAGGTCCTGCGACATGCAGAAACAAGGGCAGACAGCCGCATTAGGCCCACTACACAACAGCAGCCAAAACAACTGAAACCACTTCAGCTTAGCTTCTTGCATGGCACACCGGGACCCCACCAGAGGTGTTATGTGATTCATAACTCGGCTAACAACCCTAATTCAGGGCTAGTGCAGATGTAATGTGTTGTACTGGGAGTGTGAGTCTAATCAATATACTGAAGTGTGCAGATCAGTGAGAACTCACGTCTGAACATCTCCTGCATCTGTTTACATACATTAGGGAACTTTAACTTAATATATTCCCACTCCTGAATTGTTTGTGATATAACATTATAAATTCCCTGGTCTTGAAAACAGTTGAACATTTATTAAAAATTTGTCATGGTCAGATGAATCATGAAGTATTGTCATGTAAAAAGAACTTCTGCTCAAGTTTACTCCTGTAGAGCCTTCACCCAGAAAGAAGAAAGAAAAGCTTCTCCTTATGGAGCCTAGATGCCCAAACTAGCTAACTGAGAGCAGAAAAATCAGTATTTAACAATAACAAGTGGGAACATTAACAGCCAGGGATTTGGGAAAACAAGGCAGGATTTTGAAGTGGTGATCTCATTTATATTAAAGAAAGCAGCAACATGAGGCAACAAACAGGTCGGGACTTGGATAACTGACATGAGATTTCCTGCTAAGCCCCACAAATCTGCTAAAGTAGCACTAAGCCCTCAGTGGGACAAAAAGCTGCTGGAAGAAGATCACTGGGTCTCAGCAATACTTGGTTTCAGATTATACACACAAAAACATACAGTCCTTATGTAAAAGCCGAGTCATCGGACTTTGATTTGATTGATTTTGATTTGATTTATTATTTCAAGCATGTAAAACAGTTGATATGTCAACACATGTAATTTCACACATATCCAACAATAATAATCCAATATCAATTTACTTACCTAGTACATGCTTGAATGGAGTAGGAAGAAGTTAGACTTATCTAGTCCTACCCCATGACATCATTTTACAACTTTTAAATCCTAAGCAATATCTCTAGATAAATAATTATCCTCTACACCACACAAGTAATATACTACAGAATTATTACAGTGTTAACATTCTACATAA